CCCCCCCAGGAGGGCTTCATCCTGCACATTCACTGCATTCTCTTTACCTCCTCCCCAGCGACCTTAATCACAGCACACAGTATGTCCAGGGCCTGGCCCTTTGCACTCTTGGCTGCATGGGCTCCTCGGAAATGTGCCGTGACTTGGCTGGCGAGGTAGAGAAGCTCCTGAAGACCTCAAACTCCTACTTGAGGAAAAAGGTGGGCGCTTCGCTCTAGGACCCTTTCCTGATCCTGTCTGTAACTCTAACGATGCCTAAGGAGGGTCCTGGGTGTGGGAGCCGTGGGTCTTTCCTCCCCACCAACCAAGTGCTCTGCTCCTTTGTGGGACGGAGAAGCGGGCAGTCTTCCAGCAAAATAGGAAAGACTTGAGCCTCCTCCTTCCCTCTTCCCCCCGCCACTTCCATAGGCAGCCCTCTGCGCGGTTCACGTCATCCGGAAGGTGCCTGAGCTCATGGAGATGTTTCTGCCAGCTACAAAGAACCTCCTGAACGAGAAGAATCATGGTAATGCCAGCTGTGGGAAGTGGCTAACAGGAGGAGAAGGAGGGGGAGGGGCTTGGCCTGCCCTGGTGAGAGTGTGGTGTAGACTGACTGTCAGGGGAGGCCCCATCCTGCTTTGGGGTGCTGCTGTCCCTAACCTGGAAGGAAAGCTGGGGCGCTCCAGGGGCTAGTGTCCTCCCTATGGCTGTTCCTAGCTGAGCTCAGCTTAGGGGTGATAGGGGGCTCTGGAGGCGATCCAGGTCATTCTTTAGTGGGTGGGGTGGGTGGAGGAATGTGTGCTCCCTGCCTCTTCAGAGACTTTCCTTTACTGCTCCACTGCTGCCTTGAGACTCTCCTCTCCTCATCTCCGCTCTGGTGCTGTGCCCTAGGATGCTCCCTCAAGACATGCCCCTCTTTTTCCCTGGCAGGAGTCCTTCACACCTCAGTTGTCCTTCTCACAGAAATGTGCGAGAGAAGCCCAGACATGCTGGCTCACTTCAGGAAGGTCAGTCTGAGCTCTG